GTATTATACTATAGTATTATACACTATAATATATACACTATATAATATATATGTATATGTATAATATATGTATATATATATATATTATATATATTTTACTTAGTCATAGAAAAGAATGAAATTTCACCATTTGCAATGACAAGAAGGGAGCTAGAGAATATATATGCTAAGCAAAGTAAGTCATAGAAAGACAAATACCATGATTCCACTCAAGTGGAATTTAAGAAACAAATAAAGGGAGAGAGGCAAACCCAGAAACACACTTTAATATTTTTTAACGTTTATTTATTTTTGAGAGAGAGACAGAATATGAGCCAGGGAGGGGCAGAGAGAGAGGGAGACACAGAATCCAAAGCAGGCTCCAGCCTCTGAACTGTCAGCATAGAGCCCAACGCAGGGCTTGAACCTGTGAGATCATGAAATAAGCTGAAGCCAGACACTTAACTGAATGAGCCATCCAGGCAACCCAAGAAATTTTTTTTTATTTTACACATTTTGAGAGAGAAAGTTTGAACAGGGTAGACACAGAGACAGAGAGGGAGAGAGAGAAGACCAAGCAGGGGTCGTGCTGTCAGCAAGGAGCCTACCACGAGGCTTGATCTCATGAACTGTGCCGAGCTGAAATCAAGAGTCAGATGCTCAATGGACTGAGCCACCTAGGCACTCCCAGACTCTTAACTATAGAAAACAAACTAAGAGTTATCAAAGGGGAGGTGGCTGGGGGAGATGGGTGAAACAGGTGATGGGAATTAAGGAGTACACTGGCTGTGATGAGCACCAGGTATTTTGTGGGATTGTTGAATCACTACACTGTGCACCTGAAATTAATATCACAGTGAATGTTAACTAACTGGGATTTAAATAAAAGATAAAAATGAAAAAAGCCACTTCATATAAAACAAAACAAATAAAATACCCAGTAATATACCTAATAAAGGGACAGAGGCTATGTGAAAGATCTATGGAAAATTAATATATTTTTATATAACAAGTTTGCATAAATTAAGATATGACAGATGTGTGAATACTGAATATTGTAAAGATGTTTTTCATTCCAAGCAAGGCTATAAATTTAGCATAATTTCACGCAATATCACTGTCAGATTTTTCTTATAAGAATAAACAAATAAATGGGTGCCTGACTGCCTCAGTTAAGCATCTGACTCTTCATTTCATTTCAAGTCATGATCTGACAGTTTATGAGATCGAGCCCCATATCAGGCTCTGGGCTGAGCCATGGAGCCTACTTGGAATGTGTCTCTCCTCCTCTCTCTGCCTCTTCTGTGCTCATTCTCATATTCTCTCTCTCTCTCAAAATAAATAAATAAAAAGAATAAACAAATATGTCCTAATATTTTACGAAGAGTATTTGAGATATAATTTTAAATGCATTTAATATTATTAATTAATGAAATGTGGTATGAGCATAACAATTAACAGATAATTGGAATGTAAGGGAAAAATCCAGAACTACACTCTAATGTATATAAATCAGAATGTAATGAAGTAGGACTTAAATTAGGAGGTTATATGATTAAATATTTGGTTTTGAGATAATCATTTAGAAAAAAAACACACATCACTTGCTCCCAATCTCCTACCTTATCATAATAAATTAAAGGTATATCAACAACGAAGCAACAGAAAGAGAAATCAAGGAATCGATCCCATTTACAGTTGCACAAAAAACCATAAAATACCTAGGAATAAATCTAAACAAAGAGGTGAAAAATCTATACACTGA